TCTATAAGTCCAGACTTAACCTCATCAATGTCATCCAAATAATATGTGAAAACATTAAGCAAATCATTCTCCGTTTTCGTTGGACCAATTACTTTTGCTATTTCGTGAAGTGAACAAGCCAATGATCTTCGTACTTTAATCTTGAAATATATATTACGTTTTAAGTTCAGTGTTATAAATAAGAAATTTATAGTAAATAAGAGGTTTATAGTTAAACAAAAGAAAATTTTTAACCTGCATGTCTCGAGTCAAGGGAATATATGTATCTTTTAAATTATCCCAACTGTTTTCACCCAACGTTAGAACGACAGCTTTAATGTTTCAAAGATTAAAAAATTAAATCATCAGGAGCTCATAACAAATAAATCTATATGATTTTAATCATCTCACCGGGAAAATTAAATGCACATATAACTGGACGTTCCGGATCTCTCTGTCCAAGATTATTGCTAAATGTACTACTAGAAACACCATTACTAAGACTGCTTTCCCTAACCGGTCCAAGGCTTAAAAAATGTTGTACTAAACTTTCAGGAACTTTATCATCAGGTTGAAAAGTAGCAATCAATTCCCCAATAATTTCACCGGCTGCAGAACGTACACTACGACTAACATCACCGGCAAATAGTTCAATTCCTTTTACAGCTCGATCCGATTTCATTTCTCCAGGAAGTTTTGAGCATAATGTTGGTAAAACTAAGCAACAAGAGCGACGTACGTGCCATATAGGGTCGATTGAGAAATGGTCGTATATAGGTAACTTTTGATATCATTGTTTTCTCAATATCAACAATTTTTGTAATGCTTCCAACAAAGCATGAAAGAAATGGTTTTATTATTTACCAATTTTGAAGTTATTATATCCAAAGGTAATACACTAGCTAAATTTCCAATCGCCAAGGCCGCTTCCTAGAACAAATAAGTAACTTCAATTATAAATTATGAGCTAATAAAAAATAAAATAATATCAGATAACCAACCTTCCGTACATAGAACACTGGCTCTTCCATCATTTTGTCCAACTCAGGTACAAACAAGCGAATACATCTTTCTGGGCCAACGATCGGCGCTAAAGATGATATTAACTACAAATATAAAATGATTACAGACCAAATATTAAGAAACAGAAGGTTGAATGAAATTTAGAAACTTACCGACATCATTGTCATTCGGCCTAGCTCAACTTCTTCCTCAATACCAGTAACAGCACCAACACTTGTATCGTCACCTTCATCCCATTCATTTAATTCCTCTCTCTTTACCTTCTCTTGATCAAGACGACCTATTCCTAAAACAACACCCTCCAAAGTTTCTTTTTCTAACAATTCTTTTTCTTTAGGATTAACATCTGGTTCTTCTAGTATTCTCTCAACTAAAGAATGTATAACATTTTGAGCTGCTTGTGCAATACCAGTGTTTTGATCAAGAAGCAATGCATGAAGCAGAGGAGTAAAGGCAGCTGGTGATAAATATGGTAAATGATTAGTCGGAGTTGGTGGTTGTGATGGCAACGATTGCTGTATTGGTGTTTGTGGTCTTTGAGGTGTTTGAGGTCTTTGGGGTGTTTGCGGTCTTTGTGGAGTCAAAGGCCTTGATACTGAAGCATTATCATTCTGAATATTATCTGTTGTAATTTCTGTCGTAGTTTCTCTTAGTGGACAATGCTGAATTAAATGATATATATAATTTTCCCAGAAAAATTGAACGGTAAGAAAAAAAAATTTATTTGAATATGAGAAATTTAAAAAAAATTTATATATTTTAACTTACTGAATAATAAAACCATATAATTTTATCTAATTCAGGAACAAATGCTTCGCGAACATGATCCTCTAGACGCATTAACATGAATTATCGATTGATATATATATAAATAAAAGTGATAAATAAAATGCTAATAAAAAAAAAAAAGAAAAACTAACCAGGGTCTGTTCCTAAAGAATTCATCAAAGGCAATACATATTCAACAGCTTCACTTATTTCCACATCTTTTATCAGTGACGGCAGTTCCTTTGCAATGAACACTCTCATAAGAAAAAAAAATATAAGTTAATTACATACCGATATATTGATATGTTAGTATGAATTTGAATTATAATTATTATTTAATAATAACTCAATAACCTACCTATGAAATACCAAATCGCTCTTCACGTATAGGAATATCTTCTCAAGTGGCGATAATGTATCATCTAACAAAAGTTCTTCATCCTCTATCTCTTCGGGAGGAATTTCTGAAAATTGATCTAATGCAAAAAAATTAAACCATAATTGATACTCATGTCACAGGTTTTTTTGTTATGGACTGCGAAGGATCGCCCGAGAAGTTATCACCAATTGAAAAGTCAAAACGTCTATTTAAGCCGATGACAATAATTTGTGGGTTTCCTAGTACTTAATTCCAGGCAGGAGATAAACTGGTTTAACAATGTAAAAGAAAAGAGTTCGTGTACATACCAGAAGAATTCTCAGCCATCGCAGCCAGTAGCTCCTCGGTATCTAAGTCACCGCCATCCTCGAGATCTTCCTCCCTTTCCTGAAGGGTTTGGTCAGAATTTTCTAAGCTAAGGTCTAAAGCGAACACAATATACCTTGAAGTTATTCTAAAAGTCAAGCAAAAAAATAGGATAAAATAGATTTAGGGTTCTCACCCGACATGACACGAAATAATGTTTGGATAGAAATCGTTGGCCCGTTCTCGAAAAAAGTACGAGTTTTAATTCTTAAAAAGTCCAGAAGAACAAGTGAATGTCTAGTGATTTAACAATTTTGGAAAAAGTGTGACATTCAATTCCAAAGTAGATTAATTTCAGACGTCAATTGTTTCACACTCGTCACGTCGTCACGCTATTAATTCGTAAATTATAACGGTAAAAATTTTTTATTAATCACAGAGTGTAAAAAATGATATGATTTAAATAATATCATGCGACAATGAAATGATGCATTGTTATCGAGCCACAAAGCGAACAATTAAATGAACAAACACGATTATATATCAGTGATATTATGATTTTCATTTTTATCTTTGGAAGACTTTACATTTATCTGATTTTTAGCACCAACTATTCCCAAACCTACACCCCATTCATTTTTCTGCCTTAAACCACTACGAAGTCGCCACATCAATCCACCAAGCCCACCAAACCCTTGATATAATACAGCTCTACGACTTGGAGCAGGTACTATATGTTTTACATGATGTTCTGTTACCAAACCACTTTTAGAACCAAATTTATAAACAAAAATACCAGAGAAAGATGAACGTGGAATTTGTGTGCTACGTGAAGATAACAAAGAAGTAATGTAAGAAGATCGAGGAGTTCCTTCAAGTTCCCAACGAATATAAAGTTGAATATTTCTATCATTAGGTTGTATATCAGAAGTGGAAAAGGATAATAATGGTATTGGATGAGTGTCACAAGTAATGTCTTTGAATAAAATGTCACTTCCAGGATCGTTTTTATCATCCTTACTGTTATCTGCTACATGAATCTTTACTATTTCTAGCGTTAAATCGTCAAAATACCAAATTAAACTCCACCTCAATAAATTAGCAATTCCAAAATATACGTGCTTTCCGCGTACATATAGACCCGTATGATAAGGATCAGATAAAAGAATATTTTGAGAATATATTGATGTATCAGTAAGACCACGTTCAAAAAATGTTGAAAGATCCGATCGTATCGTACGTATTGCTACAAATATTAAGATAATTGAAATTTTTATTTCTATACAAAATTTACAGTAATAAGTCGAGAACGTACCTTTGCCAACATTTAAAGTATAGTCGTTAGGCGGCGAATTCCCCTCTGTGTAAGAACGAAAGACGAAACCCTGAGGAAATCTCAAATCCTTCTGATGAAAGGCGAAACTTAAAATTGGAAATGACGAAGGGTGAAACCTGGTAAAACCTTCATAAAAGTTAAAACCAAACAAAACTTAAAAGATCAAATGAAAAACTGAGCTATAATTAGTAAACCATTTTCATATCAAAATGAGTCCTTACCTTTCATAGATTCTTTACAATTTTTTGTTAATTTTTTATTATTTTTTATTATTATTATTATTGCTTTAGATGCTTGATTATGCAGAAAAGCCCAGTAATCTTTATGACGAAAAAATGACTTCAAAGTATTGGGTCGAACTTTATACTTATTCAAAAAACGTTAACTGGCATTAAAAGATTACGAACGATCGATGCATCTACTAACTTGGCGAATGAAGAAGGCAATCGCGTGGATTTTAGCCAATCATATTTCAAGATCAGGTGTAACATAAAAATCAAAACAAAATCGTTGTAAGCCACATGGTTTTTAGATGGCTGACTAAGCCAACCGACTGAAATATCGACTAACCTCCAAAAATTTAACGCGATCCTTGCTCGTATTCATTTTCTCTTTTCAGAATTATCGTAAGTAATCTCATCATATCATTTATATCCATATCATTTATAATAATGTAATCTTTAGCCGAATCCCAAAGGTTCCAAAATCTAGGTCTAAATTTCATATAACGATTTTACATATCTGATATAAGAGCGATGCCAATTTTTCTTATAGTGATTTTTCGAAATCACCATTTCCTATTAAATTATTATAAACAATGATATCGCTCAAATTTTTATTTCTCCTGAAGTATTTTATATTTTTGAAAGTCTGTAAACTGTGTATGCTTTATGAAACATATGTTCAAAAAGTGACAATGTTAAATTTTACATATACTATTATAAAAAATTATATGGAATAAAACCAGTAAATGATTTTCATATAACCAATAAATGATCCTCATATGAGTAACTATAAAATCTTAACCATTAGAATTTTTTATATATCATATATAATACGTAATGTTATTACGTTTTTAATATATGCATCATAAAGCATAAACAGTTTACAGACTTCGAAATAAAAATTTAAATGATGATTTCGGAAATACCCCAATAATTCATCATGGTGCCCAATACGAGTATATTAATTTTTTTAGCACGTACCCGCATCTGTACGGATCCAATCAAATTGCATTAATTTCAAAAAATCCAGTAATTTCAAAAAGAGTAGATTAGTGGGTCCACCAAAATTCAGCAAACGACCTGCAGATCGCCGCCGACCCATCATCGGGATTTACTT